CACACATTCAGCTGATCTTAAAGGTTAGCCAATGCCCACCACATTCTGTAAAGAGAATAGGTTCCTCTGAGTTAGCAACCAGTCTCAGCTATGCGAGCGCATATCCTAATTAAGCAGCTGTTCTTTTTCTTTGACTGCTGCTTCATTTCTTAGCTACTCCGTGTTTGTGGCCACACATTTACTTCTTGCCCAAACAGATTGACCATGGACTCTAACTTCATGGAGTCCAATCCTTACTGAGGCCCTGTCATTAGGTCTGCATACAGACAAAAATCTCCAATAAAGTTGAGGAAAAACTCATATGGAAGTACAGGATTCTACACTGTTGGGAAAGGAAATTTTGGTAGTTTCTTCCCCCACCCCATCCAGATGGAACAAGACTTGATCTGATACATTGATGGTTTTTCCTGTGATTCACGCTCCTATTTTAAAACATCTAACAAATGAGGGAAGGGGGTGTTGCTGTGTTTTCCCTTGCACCAGGTCTGCAAGAGCTTCCAGGGAAGATTTCAATTGGTGTCAAACCCCTGGTCCTAGAGAAACAAATTAACCAAAACCCAACAGAGAAATTCTTACTTTTCCATTTACCATTGCTGCATCCACCAAACTCTAACATGGTGGAGAAGAGGTCAAGCAAGTTAAAAAATGAAATGAAACCAAGGGAGGGAGCCAAGGAATGGAAGAAAAGTCTTGCTTAACTGCTGGAGAAAAGGCAGAAAGAGAAAATGGCAGAAAAGAGAGAAAGGGGGGAATATCATTGTAACATTAAAAATGGCACAAGCCGGCTGTCATGACATTTCCATCTATGGCTCTTCCAGTCAATCTAAAGATATATATTTGAATCCTTTAAAATCCTGGAGCCTCTCAGGCTCCAGGTGGGTTTGCTATGGTACTTCCCTAAGCAACAACAACAAAAAAGAGTTGACCAGACACATTTCAAGCTCAGACACTCTGTGAGGTAGGTGAAGGTCAATGACAGGTACCTATGTTGCTGGTGTGAAGAATGGAAAGAGAAAGAATTATAAATCACCCTGAACACTGAAAAGTAAAAAAAAAAAAATACTAGTGAGGCCTCTTGTAGGAATGCTGGAAAGGAATATTTCACTGATCAAAAAGAAATTCCAGGGCAGTTTACAATGTTTCTAGTTCTAGTTAAATGAACTCATTGTGACAGTCTTTTGTGGCAAAACAGAATGGAACTATTTCTAGGGGAAATGTGGTATGGCAGCCTTTGAATACCATAACTAAAGCTGTCATTGATTCAGATAATTCATTATCAAAGCCTTACAGGTAGACTGGGAAGCACATCAGAAAGGCTATCTAAACTACAGAGTGATTCAGTAAGAAAAAATTTCATAAAGTATGAGAATGAATAAAAATAATACGTACACCAATATATTCATCCTAGAAAAGCAAGAAAGCATCACCTTGGAGAAAGGTGGAACACACTTTTCACAAGTATATGTTGAAGCCTGAAGTAGCATTGGTTATTTCTTGTCTCCTCCTGCCAATTTCTGTTGCTTTAGCTAGAAGCAGGCCACTGTTTCATCTGGTGCAGGAACAGGATGGTTCTACTCCTAAAGTCCATACACCAGCCTGCCTTCAAAACATTCCAACATGCAGCTTTCTGGGTCCCTGTTTGGGCTTCTACTTTTTTTGATGTGATCACAGGAAGTTTTTTTTTAACACTCTACTAAGGCATTGCTATAAAAAGCATTATAAAACTTATAAAAACCCAGAGGGGGGGAAAATGAAATCTTCATTCCAGGACCTGCCTGAAGCTAATTCCATTGTAGGCAAATACACAGAGAAGCAGAGGAAGTGTTTAATATCCCCATATTGTGAAGTAGCTGTCTTCATGGGAAATTCCAAAAGGAAGGAGCTGGACCAATTAGGGTCACTTGACGTGTGTATACCATTTGGGTGCAAAGGATTGGGAAGAAAGTAAAAGGTGGACCTATGAAACCAAGAATGGATCCTCATGATTTCATATGATTGTTTTGTGGGATTCTTGCAAAACCAAGATCAATTCATAGATCCCATCTCTGCTGACAAACTACAATACAGAAATCATAGATTCTTTGGCACATGACTCTGCAATGGCACAAAAACATGGATATGAGGCAAGGATCTACATGATTTCATATGATTTTCAGATGTAATCTTCCCTGAACCACTGTGAGATCACACCATTTACACCCACAGAATACACCACAGAAATTATGGGATCCCATAGCTCATGGCTTTGCAGTGATGCAAAAACATGAATCCGAAGCACAGATCTTCATGAATCCACACGATTTTAGTGTAAGACCATGTAGTTTGAGGATGAGGCAATATAAAAATAATGTGGATATATGTGGATCCATGCCTGGGATCTATGTTTTTGCATCACTGCAAAACCATCAGTTGAAAAAGTCATGATTTGTGTGTTTTAGTTTGTGGGCATTGATGGAGCCTCTGACTGGAAAGTGGTTTCGAAAGGATGTCGCATAAAACCCATCTAAAACCATGAGGATTGCTGTTTATGCACCAGTGCAGTCATATGCTGAAGGCCCATGGTTTCTATGGTATCTGCCAGGAACAGGTGAACGCTACGATTGGACAGTGATTTGAGGATGATCCTAGATAAAACTCACATGGATCCATGAGCTTTAAATCCACATTTTTGCATCACTGCAGTCACGGGCTGGGGGACCCATGATTTCTGGGTGGAAATTTATTGACACTGATGGCCTCCATGAATTGAGAGTGGTTTGAGGATGATCCTAGTTAAAAATCATGTGGATTCATGAAGATCCATGTATCAGATTCATGTTTTTGTGCCAATGCAAAGCCTAAGGGATCCATGACTTCTGTCTGTACCCACAGATGAAGCTGACAGGTGTTCAGTGGTTTGGGGAATGTTCCTGCATAAAAATCATGTGGATCCATAAGAATCTGTATAGACAATCCTTTTTTTTAACCACTGCAAAACCATGCAATTGGGGACCCCGTGATTTCTGTCTTGTAATCTATAGGCACAAATGAGGTCTGTGATGGGACAGTGGTTTGAGGAAGATCCTAGTTAAAAATCACGTGGATCCATTAGGGTTGTCAGATCCATGTTTTTGTGCTGAAGGACCCACAATTTCTGGGTTTTATTCTTTGTGCACTGACGGTTCCTAAGATTGGAGAGTGGTTTCGGAAGGATCCTACATAAAAATAATGTGGAACCATGATCATCTGTGCCTTGCATTGCTTTGTGCCACTATAAAGCTTGAGGAGGACCCATGATTTCTGTTATAGTCTGTGGGCATTGATGGTCCCTATGAATGGACAATGGGTTGTGGATAATCCTGCAGAAAAATCATGTGGCTCCATGCTTCAGATTCATGTTTTTGTGCCACTGCAAAGCATTGCATTGAGGGACCCATGATTTCTGTGGTGCAGTCTGTGGACATCGATAGGATGCATGATTTGATGGTGATTTGTCTAGGATCACGTAAAAAATCATGAAATCATCAGGATCTGTTTTTGATTCTGTGTATCTGCCATTTGGTGTGATCCATGCCTCAAGGGTTACACCAAATGGCATACCGGACCTTAACTCAACCTCTAGTAGCCCTGTTTAATCCAATCCAGCCCTCTTCAATCAGCCCACACAGACTGTCAGCGTTTCTTAACGCAAATCGCAGTTTTAGCAGAGTAATTTGCGGTCCAGGCAGTCCAGAAATAACTCACACGCAGTCCAGCAGCATTTCAGCAACGTGTATTTACAGCAGTATTTACATCAGTCTGGCAGCATAACATGTAGAAGTGATCTTCAAGCAGGAAGAAGATACAACTGACTGTACAACTAACACATATATACATATACAGGACCAATCAGATCACACATTGCATCATCCCTGAGTTGCATCATCCATGAGTTGCATCAGCACTGCTGAGCCATCCTGACTCAGCTTTAACACACCTGATCATTATGGATTCTCATTAATACACTCCATTCTGCTCAGGCCTGTAATTTTCTTCGACAAAGACAACCCTTTAGTCTCCATTTTAGAATGAGGTTTCTTGTTCAGTAGGGTGGAAAATATTTGATTGTGTCTTCCTCTTTACACACTGTGTCAGGACCAGACTCTAGTTTTAAAATGGACACTTTCCACTCCACTTTCCGGGGAGGGCCATCTCTCTAACCTGCCTCCCTCTGCCCCCTCCCCCGCCAGGTAGGTTTTATAACTGGAGACTGTCAGGGATAGAGAGATGGCCTTCCTTGGAAAGAGCGATTCCAAAAAGGAAATGAAAGAGAGGGGATGAACCCACTGATCAATTAAAGCAGCAACAAGTCTCCCCTAGTCGCTCCCTGAGAGGAACCAGCCATTCCCACCCACTCCCACCATGTAGCCGCCATCGAAGCCTGGATGAAATCGGAGGAAGGCGGGATTTCCCTGCAAAATATTAAAGCTCCAGAATGAAGGGGACAACCTGCCCCTTTCCAAGGGTGACAACTTTCTCTGGTAATCTGACCAGCAACATGTATAGCGACGTGGCGGGGAGCCCCCGGAGCCGGAAAGCAAGGAAACAGCCCTGCAAACAGGTGAAACAGGCAGCGACTTGGCTAAGTGCTTCCTCCACGGCCAGACGTCGTGGGCACCTCACAGAAGCAGCTCCTCGCCTTCGCCCCCTCAACCCCAAGCTTTCCGCCTGGCTCCCGCCTGCAGTTCTCCCAGACGCTGGGGGACTAGGTCGCGCCACCCCTTGCGCTGCTCGGGCTCCTCAGCCGGCGAGGGGGCCCACGTGCGCCCTCGCCTTCTCTCCCTTGGCCACGGATTCCACCCCCTCCCCGCTTCTCCCGCCTGGAGTCTCTCTCCCTTGCCTTTCAGGCGGCGAGACAGGGTCAGAGCCAATCCCAGGGCAGCGCTGCCCGACCGATCCCCGCCTTTCACCGCGCGATGACCAATGCGGAGGTGAGGGAGGGGCTGGGTAGGCGGGGGAGACAAGAGAGATTGAAAGAGAGAGAGAGGGAGACTTCTTCCTCCTCCTCCTCCCCACCTCCCTAGTTAAGGCGGCTTTGGGTGCGAGACTGTCGCTCCGTGGCCCGCGGCGGGTGGGAGAGGCGCACACCGCACGCGCGCACCGCACGCGCCCAGCCCGGGGAAGGGAGAGCGCGCGCCGCTGGCTGGGGAGGGAAAAAGGCCAGGAGGGAGGCGGCGGCGGCCGAGGGGAGGCGCTGTCCGAGGTGCTGAAGCGAACGCGTCGCCTCCCCTTCGCCCGCGGTGCCCCCCGAGCTGGGCTCCCCGAACGCGGCGCGGCGCCTGGGCGGCAGCAGAGGTATCCCAAGTCCAGCAGGCAGGCGGGCGAGGGCAGGCAGGAGGCGACGCTTCACGCCCCGCCAAGTCCATTCCCTTCCCTCTTCCTCTTCCTCTTCTTCCTCCTCCTCACACCCCTCTTGGGTTACCCGGGCAGCCCCTCCAAAGTGCAGCCGCTCAGACTATGGAGCAGGAGCAATATTTGCCCGAGCTGATGGCCGAGAAAGATAGCCTGGATCCTTCCTTTGTTCACGCGATGCGCCTTTTGGCTGAAGGTAAGGAGACTTCTTCGCTGCTTCCGGCTTTTCGGAGCCGGTGGGTTAGCCCGATCACCTCTCTCTCTCTCTCTCTCTCTCTCTCTGTCTCTCTCTGTGTGTGTGTGTCTCTCGCCTCCTTTTCAAGAGCACCGGCCGCCCTGGAGTCGGGGGGTGGTGGTACAGTGGGGATCGGGGGATCGGCTGCCTCGGGGGCGAAAGAGCACCCGAGCTGGCTCTTCCCGCCTTCGCCGATCTCGGACCCGAGTAGAGGGACAGGCGGCCGCGATCCGGGGAGGCTGAGGCAGCAGGACTCGCCGCCGCCTTTGAGCTGGCCAGCCACGGGCGACTCGGAAAGTGCGGCGAGAGGAAGCCAAGAGGCTGAGTTCGGGCTTTGATTTCTCATCAGGTCCCTGCCTGCAGCCCTGGCACGGTCCTGGGGGAGACTTCAGAGGAAACCTTAGCCCTGTGGTCGTGGCGTCGGTGGGCACTGGGACTGGTGTGGGTTTGTGGGGCGTCTGTTTTGCGTTGCTGCAAAAGGCAAGGGTAAGTTAGAAAGGCTGGCGGGTTTCTGAAGAAATCCTGCAGGGTCAACAAGGCAGGGGCTCTGCTAGAGCCTTGGCTTTCGAAGAGATGATGAGGCTCAGTTCGTCACGTTGAAAAAGGCAAGTGGATGGCACTATCCTGGCTTTATGTGTTGGGTTTTTTTTTGCTCCTAGAGGCAAGTGGGAGTTTTTTTTTTTTTTTTTTTTTTGCTCCTAGAGTCAAGTGGGGGAACCTGGAGATTCCCCCGGTTCTGTTTTGCACTGGATTTGAGGACTTGCTCTCCTTTCCTTTGCTGCCTAGTGTGTGTTAAAGTATCCATGTCAGAACAAAAGTGTAGCAAACGCCATTCACTTTTTAAAGAATGGCCAGGAGGACTGCAGCTATTAACATTGGCTAATTTCCACGGGGGTGGTTTGTTTCCATAAGGTTTTATTTCTTTGCATGTTTCTTCTCATAAATAATGCACTCTCCCTTTATTACCTGAACCACTCAAGGTGGGTTCATGTGGCAGGTGAAGCTTGCAGGTTCCTGATGTAGTTACACAAGGGCAGATTTCCCGTTAAAACTATTGTATTTTGCAGTGCTGTTCTATTATCACTCCTCCCTCCCCACCTGCAGTCTCTTGTTTATGAAAGAGCTTATGTCCACTGGAGTTTCTAGAAGTCAGCAATGCTTTTGTCCCACTCTGCAGCTGGTTTGGATTAGTTAATTTTGTCAAGTTTACTGTTGCGTTTCCTCTGTCTTTCTAGAATATGGAATGGAAATTTGCTGAGCAACGAGTAATCATGATAGATCTTTTTAGGTTTATGGCAGGATTGATGAATTACTTCTTTGTGTTGCTACTAACCAGAACTTTGCAAGTGGTGTCTGTGTGTAAAAGTGTGGTGTTACATATTACAATTTGCACTAAAAATTTCAAGCACAAACACAGACATTTAAAAAATCCTCCTTGATTTTATCCTTTGGACATGCATTCCTTTGTATTAATATACTATTTGTAGGCACTTCTATGCATCTTAACATATTATAAAGTGAAGTCATATATGAATAGATGCTGACAGGTACGGATTAGAATTCCATATTTTAAGAGTTGAGAGTTTGTGGGATATAATAACTGTACAGAAATGTAAGGGCAAGGAGAGAGAGGACACAAATGTCAGTGTATCAACTTAATTTGTGTTTTTTAAATAATAGATTATCCTCAGTTTAGACAGCATTAAAATTTTTAGTTGAGGAACCTGCAGTGCGTAAAAAAAAGATGTATTGATTTGCAAAAATCTGATTTGTAAGGGATTCCTTTCACAACAGACAGTCTTAATACCCAAGAGATACATCTTCATGTTTTTGTTGTTATTCCAAAAGGACATACTTTTATGTGTGTAATTTAAACTTTTCCCAGTAGGGGGAACTATCTACTGAGACACAATGGAATATCTAGAAAAGCAAGGAATAGGAGAAGAAATGAAGGTGTGGGGAATGAAAAAAAATAAACTATTTTTAAAAACTTGAAATAAATGGAAGTCTGTAAAGATATGTTCACATCTGGTTTCCTTGTGAAGGTTGAATTCAATTCTGAATGACACACAGGTTTTACTAAACCAATACTGTACTGTGCTATTTTTCATCCTGAGTGTAGCTGCAGGTGAGCATATGTGAATATTAAAAAGAAACTAAGGTGAGCTGTCTATGAAAGCTGGAGAGAATGCTAATGTGAAATTCACACCAGCTACCTGGCATTATCCTTCAAAACACCATCTGCCAAGGTTTCTGGAGCTGCATTTTAGATTTCTCCCAAAAAAGGGGAGAAAATTACAGAAACATAAATTTCCTTTGAAGTGGGCAGTGAGAACTACATGTATAGTTATACCAAACAGCGTTATTGCTGATAATCTGAATGCCCAGCAAAGAGAAGTAAAGAAAGTAAATACAAAGCTTTTAAAATGGTATCTCTTACTAGAACTGTAATCCTAGTATTGACTGTTTGCTATTAATAGGTAATAAGAGGAAATCTTTTGTAACTTAAGAAGCCTTCTTACTGGTAATGTATTTCAGTTACATGCACAAGTAGGGTGCTCTTTTGCTTTGTTGTTGTTGTTTTTCAAAGCTTGGCAAAGTGATTTTTCATGTCACTGCCTGATGCTTGCAGGTCAAAGTTAGATAGACTTATGCAGAACTATTAGGGAAAACCAAACCTGTAAGCAGAGTTTAGAGCTGGTCTAGGCATCTGGCTGGCGAGCTAGAGCAGGGAGTTTGATTCCCCACTGTGCCTCTGTGACAGAGGCTGAACTCAATGATCCATAGGTTCCTTTCCAGCTCTGCAGGTCTAACATGATGATGATGATGATGATGATGATGATGATGATGATGATGATGATGATGATTGATTTAGGATACATGATTCAGTTCTAGAGATCTGTATTTTCCTGGTGCTTCCAAACCTAAGGGTATCTTCTTATCTGGCTTGTGCAAGGTATCTGTTGTTTCCTCCTTCAAAACCTTAATTTAGTGTTTTGTAAGAAACATTGCTTAGATGTGCACAAACTTGAGTGAACTTTGGATCCTATTCAGTATGTTAATGGCAAAGAGCCTTTCCCCCAGATGCTCACGAATGCTTCAGCTTCAGTTGTAATTTTATGAAATATGGAGATGTCACTAGTTCCTACTCAGGCATTTTTTTTAAAAAAAGGTTTGTAATACACTAAGCAGGGCCAGTCCAACCCGAGAAAGATCCAGTCCAACCCACTTGCCTATCACTGTCTCCATGAGTAGATGGACTGTCAGAAGAAGAAAAAGCTGACGCCACAACTGGAGTTTCTCCATATGTTTCAGGATCCTAAAAGATCTGGATTCCCAGTGGTGCAGAGACAGGAGAGACCATAAGTAACAGTTTTTCTCTCTCCTTTTCAGATTTTCTTTCTTCAGACAAAGACGAAAACAGGCAAGAGGTGGAACTATTTCTATCTCCCTGCTCATGTTTTGAAATTAATCCTTTTCTTGAATGCCTGGCTAAGATTACTCTTATACTAGTCACAGTGCAGCTATACTTTCAGGTGGTGTCTGCAGGAAAAACTGAGTTTGTAATCCTTTATATTTACTTGGGAATAAGCTCCACTGAAGTTGGTAGACCCACTTCTAAATACTCATGCATGAAGTAGAAACTGTCCCAATGTAAAACAGACAAAAGGAAGAGGTTTGTCCTTTTTCATTCTATAATCACAAGCTGCTAACTCCTATTGAAATCAAATGGACTTTGAAATGTCAGGACTGAAATCCTCTTTACACACTTACTGGGTGTGTGTGAAATCTCATTGAACTCAATGGGATTTATGTCTGAACAATCATGCCTCTAGATCATTTCCGCTTTTACTCATTGTGTGGCTCCCCCATGGTCTAAGACTTGTTATGCAAAACCTGTTAACCCGAGACTGTGGGAGGATCATCTTTACATCTTTAAAGTATTATCCCAGCTAAGCAGAAGTAGGGAAATAGAGCCTGTTAAATTCCATATTGTCAAAGAAGTCTTCTCCATCTTAATCAGGTTGTAGCATTCAGCCATCTGTTACACCAGGCAGAATAATTACTGATCCTTTTAAGTTCATTGTTAACAGAATTAACTGTACAATATTTTGCAGTTAACCTTTCTCGCTGGCAGGTAAAAGATCATAGTACATCATTCAGCCATGTGGCTTCCAGTAGCTGTAAGGACATTTAAATACTCAGTGGTAAGGGTATTTAAAGAGCTTTCTTTATGTGCCATATTTTATTATTATTGTAGCACTTAAGGCTACTATGCAGATACTGGGTCCTTTTGTGATAGCACTGTAGAGGCAAATATGATGTAGTTTATGAACAAGCATGAATGAGCAAAAGGGAAGCAGACCAGTTGAAGAATATGGTTTGAAAAATTAGTTCATCACATGTGAGCCTGGGTGCATTCTTTTTCTGTTATTTATGGGTGTTTTTTAAAAAATGTTTCAATTATGGGTTTCACATGACAATTAAATGTGATTAGTTAATAAAATATGGTTTGAAAAATTAGTTCATCACATATGAGCCTGGGTGACTAATTGGAATCCGCATTCTTTTTCTGTTATTTATGGGTGTTTTTTAAAAAATGTTTCAATTATGGGTTTCACATGACAATTAAATGTGATTAGTTAATAACAGGATATGGTTTGAAAAATTAGTTCATCACATATGAGCCTGGGTGACTAATTGGAATCCGCATTCTTTTTCTGTTATTTATGGGTGTTTTTTAAAAAAAAAATTTCAATTATGGGTTTCGCATGACAATTAAATGTGATTAGTTAATAAAAGGCAGGCTACAAATGCACGAAGAGTCGGACACGACTAAATGACTAAACGAAACGAATAACAGGCAGACTACAAATGTAGGATAATAGTTTGGTATCCGTGTGGCCCCTGCTGGAATCTAAATCAAATGTGTTGCGACTTTAGAAGAAGCCAGTCTGAAA